GGGCAGCTACGCGGGTCTCGCGCGCGTCCCACGTGGGTCGGAGCTGAGCGGCGGTCCCGGTCGCTAGGTCCCGACTCGCCTGTCCGCCGGCATGGCAGCCACCGACCGGGTGCTTCTCCACGTTCCCGAGCCCCGGGCCGCCGCCCCCAGAACCAGGACGTTCTCCAGACCCCGTCCGGCCCGGGCTAGGCGGGTGAGTTCCGATCCGGTTTCAGATGCGTTCGCAGACGGAGCCGTGGCGTGCCGCGGGCTGCAGCCCTGCCTCTCGGTCTGGGTGCGAGTTATTCGCGGAATTAAAAGGCAGTAGAGGGGAGTCAGACATTGGGCAGCTTCTGGAGGAGTCGCTGAGCAACACGTGTCTAAGAGCGGATCACCACCCGGTGGAGATGTTCTTGGAGGGAGCGGAGCGGCGGTGGAGCTGGCTAGGGCTGCCGCTAGTTGGAGGACTAGTTGGAGAGGTAGTGGCAAGGGTCTGAGGCTGTCGCCTCTAGAAGTTAGGAGCTGGCGCTTGGGTGTAAGTCCCAGCCCTGTCACGCACCAGCCACGTCTCTAAACTTAGCCGCCGTTTCCTCGACTCTAAGAGTCGTTTGTTTCAAGAATGCGAATTGGAGACTGGAAGTGTCTTCGAAGAGTTTTCAAAAAATGTGATGTATTTTCATCCACACGCAATGTTAGGGGAAAAGAAAACACAACTCATCAATAAAATCTCCTCATTAAGTGAGAGAAAGGTACCTTAAATTTAAGCCAAGCCAGAGCTGAAAACTGGTTTTTAGGTTGGTTGACTTACCTCCTAGAAAAGAGGAGGGCTGTGGGGCAGAAAATCTGTTGTAAAATCATAAGGTACCTAATGACAGGAAGAATACAATTTGATGCCAATGAGAGAGTGTCTGTATTTTCTCAAAAAAAAAAGCCACACTTAGTTACATTGAAAATTAATAGCCAAAGTTCGGTTCCGTTCATCCCTGAGTTCATATATGCTCACGCTAGCTAACACCCACTGTCTGAATTACCTAAAATTTTTAGTGATAATCAACTTTAGGATTTAGAGGCTTGTGAGTAAGAAGTTTTCAGCTGGGCAATACGTAGCTGCATCTATTCAGGAGGGGGAAGGGGAAGTAGGAAAGAGCCAGTTGGGAGTATGGGATTTGGGGTAGGACAGACCTGGGATTGAATGCCAGCCTGGCAACATGCTAGCTCTGTGACCTTGGAGATGTTAACTTCACCTCTCTGATCCTCACTTTTTCTATCCATAAAATGAGAACAGTAATTTCTACTTCATATCAAGTTGTTAGGAAGGTTAAGAGAGATAATATACATTTTCTGGCCCAGAAGAGCACTTAATAAATGTCAGTAATAAAAAAATAAAGTCATATTGGCTCCGTTTTGGGTAATAGAATTGCTGTGTCAGGAGGTCTGTGAGGTGCTTGTGCCAGGTACATCCCTAGGGACTAACACATAGAAAGTACCTACTAATACTTTGTTGAGTGAGTTGTATGAATAAATAAAGTTATTTGGTTTTATGATTGCTTGAACCACTGTGTCCAGTGGATATTAATAAGGTGATGACAGCTGTCTGCAGTGGCCTTGTCTGCACCGACATTTTTATGTCACGAGTGAGGATTACGTATCTGCTGATCAGATTTGCTATCAGCCTGAACTTGGGATGAGTAGCTGATGTACTGGGTTTGGAAAGTCCTTGACAGCTGAAATTGTGCTGTATCTAAGACTGTGCAGAATGTTTTCTTTCTTAAGAGAAAAGTAGAAATTTATTGTAGGAAACTTGGAAAATAGATGAAAAGAAAACAAAACCACTCCTGATTGTCAAACTCAGAGATAACGCTGGGTAACATTTTGGTCTGTATCATTCTAGAACACAGCGCAAAACAAAATAGGGATCAAACTATCTGTGATGTTTTCTAGCCAAACAGGATCCACTTCCTAAATGGTACTGTAGTGTCATTGTTAGGAACAGTGTTCTTCTCTTAAAATGGGTTGATACCAGTACTGTATCTGCAGATGACTCAATTCTTAGAAGTACTTAGCATTCTGCATACTGCCTGGTGTATAGTAACTACTCAGTATGTTTATTACTATCAGAGACAGGGCGCGTAGCCTGTTGGGGCCAGATGGACCCTGGAGATCATCTGCTATAATCCCCTCATTGGACTGAGGGTGGGGTGGGGAGCAGCCTCAGGGACGTGCTGATTTTTAGGAGATCCATGTCCTTGCTCCTCCGTGCTCAGTTGCCACCTCACGAAGCCTTCCTGTTTCTCTGCCTCCCTCCCCCTTGCTGAAGGCCATGGTAGTCTTTCTTCTCGTTTTGTGCCCTTAAATCCCTTTGTTCGTACCTCTTCTGTTGTACAAGTATAGGTTTGGATTTGCACTTTTACCCTTTTGTCTCTTCCACTAGTCTGTGACTCCTGCAAGGTCTTGGCACATCTTTGTATCATCAGAACCAAGCTCCTTGACAGCTACTAAGTGGTCAGTTTTTTAAATGAATGCGTTGTGGATGCTGGTGTGGGGTGGGAGGGGAGGAGAAGCGAACAAGTAGTAGACAAGTGTCCAGATCTTGGAAAAGAGTAATTCCATCATGTTACTCATCTTACAAGTATTTATTGAGTATTTACTTTGTGCCAGACATGGTCCTGTGCTGGGGACTCAGTGCTGTATGGGACAGGCTGGTCATTTTTTCCAGTCTAGTGGGGAAGACAGACATCACACAACAAATTACATGCTGCATTTATTGTTTTACTGGGTGTGACAAAAGAGAATAAGAACAGGGACGTTGGTTTGATAGGGTGGAGAGGAGGTCAGGAATGTCCCTTCTAGGGAGGCAGTAGGTAAGCCTAGATCTGAAGGGTGGGTGTGTTAGCCAGCCAGAGGGAGGGGCGGGGACATGGGTGTGGGAGTAGCATGTGCAAAGGCCCTGAGGAGAGAAGGAGCATGGTACATTCTGGAAACTTGAGGAAGACCAGGACGGCAGAGGGTAAAGCTGAGACTGATGAGATGTGCAGAGGCCACATTCTCAAGGGCTTTGTAGATCGTGTTACACATTTTCACCTAAGAGCAGTGGGAAACCTGTCTAATACCGTGCTTAATGTTGGACACTTGCTTTTAGAGAGAGCTTGACATGGGCATAAAGAGGGACCAGGATGGTAAGGGATCCAAAGTTTGTGTCCTGTTTGGAATATTTCATCCAAAGAAGAAGAAAGAAGGAGTTCTGTGATGGATGAAGGAATGTTATGTACAAGAGCTGAGGCAGAAAGCAGACTTCAGGCTGGTAGGTAGGATTCAGGAAGACAGATCTTGTGTGAATGTCAGAAACAGCTTCCTAAGCCGTAGAATTTGGTCGGGAAGAAAATGGGTCGCCTCGTGGGATGGAGAACAGTAGGGGCAGGTGGGCAGGCAGAAGCTGCTGGGCCAGCTGTCCGGGTCCTGGGGTGGGACGTCCGTGCGCCGTGGGAGAGGCCTGTAGGCCTTTCTGTGCTCCAGGAGTCTGTGGTCTGTACACCAGGTGAAGTCTGCACATTTCATTCCATCTTGCAGATGATTCCAGAGACCCGAAACTTGACTTCATCTCCTTTTTTATCTGAATACTTAGAACTTCGTAAAAATAAATTTACAAAGTGAAGCAGGTCAGTACTTACTCTATTAATATAGAATGTGTGGAGTTGTGTTTATTGACTTATTTAGTGATAGAATTCCTTCCAGTTGCCAGGAACAAAGAACTGTTGTTATCGGTAGGTTAGTCTGAAGCTGACGGTCATGGCTAAAGCAGGCTGGTGTGTAGGCAGAAGTCATGATTTTCAGCAGAGACGAAAATAACATATTCCAAGAGAAACGAAAACTCCAGAATAGCAAGCACTGAATACTCCCAGGATGCTTTTATATTCATGTGTAAACTGGAAGAGAAGGCCAGAGGAAATAGAGGCATCAGGTGTTCTCCTCGGGGAAGTTTGGACATCATGCATTTAACAGCATTCATATTATGGGAATAAGCAACAGGCGAGAAAATATCCGGTGTTGTAGTCTGTAATCAGCGCTCAGATGGGGAAAGGCGAGGAGAGTTGGAAGTAATTGTGAGAGAGGTGATGGATGGAGCAGAATTCTCATTTGGAATGGAGACTGGGAGGAAGAATTGTCTCCAAGCCATCTGAATCTGGGGGAGCAGCTTGAGGGCAGAGAATGACAGCGATCCAAGCACTCTGGGGCAGAGCAGTGATGAAGGTTCCGCTGGGCGTGGGCTGGGATGCGGCGTCCCACGTGTAGTCCCCGATGGGCTTTGTGTAGGGAGAAACGATTCATTTCCCCCTTTCCCGCTCTCCTCGCGTAAGTGGATTCCTAGGGACTTGGACTGACTCAGCCTGCATGCTTCACAAGGTGGGTCCTCGCGCCCTTTAAAATAGACTCTATTTGTTAACATTCAGCCTGAAAAATGTTTCTCTTTTCTTGATCCTCACCTTCATCTTGGTGGAGTTAAACGCGAAGATGATTGGAGGAGTCTAGTAGATGGATCAGTTGAGCTGTTGTGGGAACTGAGTCAAAGAATCTGATTGCAGACCCTAAACTGTTGCTTGACATATGGGGCGTAATGATCTCTGCGGGGAGGGATGCAATTCTGTGGGCAGTCAGGCTTCACTCTGAGGTCTGCGTTCATGGACTGATGCACCTCTGTTGCTCTTTCCTTTTGGGATCGTCGCAGCAAGCAGAGGCCACCAAAAGAAGATACCGCGAGTCCAGCGAGGCTCCCCCAGCGAAACGGAGGAGCGAAGCATCCTGTCTCCCAGCCAAGAAAACTGCCGCTAAAGAGACTCAAGGGACTTTTCAGGGAAAGGCACCAAAAACGTTTTCTCCAAAGAAGTCTTCGGCTGGTGGGAGTGATAGAAACCAAGAGCGGAAACCGGGCATTAAGACTTCATCCCTGTTTAAAAACAACCCTGAAATCCCGGAACTCCACAGGTATGTCCAGGTGCAGACGCCCTTCAGGAATGAAAGGAGTTAAGTGTATTCTGCCTTTTTCTTGCTTCTTGGAACTGATGCCTGAGTCTTGTTCATCATTTGCAGACCTGTGGTAAAGCAGGTGCAAGAAAAAGTGTTCACTTCAGATGCCTTTCACGAACTGGACCTCCACCCACATTTAGTAAGTATCTCTCGGTGTTTTATGTGGTCGGGTTTGGGGATGTGTTTATTCATTCCGAATGTCTGAAATGGCAGTTCTAGGAAGAAAAATCAAAGAATGGTTATTTCTGCTCCAAGTTACCTGAGTGATTTCAGGTTGATAAGGTGCTGTTCCAGGACGATTCAAGTGAGCTTAGGATTCTGTTCACTGTCTTTACGCCCAGTGCCCCCACCCCCACCCCTCCACCCCCACCTTTTTTTAAGAACTCTAAAGACTTTGCTCACCTGATTCACTTAGGACTGGGACTCCAATTATTGGGCTTGAAGACCACCTCCTAATGACTGGACAGATGTGCTACTGGGGCTATTCTGGGTGGCAGATGTCACAGGAACCCTAGGAGGGGGACCTGAACTGGCATCTTGCTGTTAAGGGAAGTCTAGTTATGAAGACTTGAAGGAAGAAGGGGCTTTTTTTTTAAAACATGCATTTTCTACAGGCAAATGAACACTTTTTAAAAAAAAAACATGAATGAGCTTTCCAGCCTTATTTATGAGTAAGGAGAGAAAATACATTTGACTTGCAGGGAGTCTGGATTTCCTTGGCTCGCGTGATCACGGCTTACCTGCTCCGTCGGGTGGGTTACACATGCTTGCTTTCTCAGCAGCAGGTTGGAGCAGGCTTTCTCAGGCGTGGTGCCCCATGTATTTTGGATGGATGACTGTGTCACGGGGACGGCTCTACGCATTGTAGGATGTTTAGCAGCATCCTCTGCCTCTGCTCACTTGATGCCAGGGCATCCTCTCCCCAAGTTTTAACAGCTGAAAGTTTCCCCAGACATTGCCCCGTGTTGGGGCGTGGTGGGGGTGGTGTGCAGAACCGCCTCCAGGTGAGAACCATTGGGTGGGAGGACTTGACTTGATCATGATCATCACTTTTTCCCCAGTATTTTCTCCCTTTCTACATCCTTAATTGTGTTAAATCCATTTGTACTGAAAAAAATCGATAAACAAAAATATTTTTTGTCTTTTCTCTTAGATTTCCACAATAAATTCAGTCTTAAAAATGTCTAGTATGACCAGGTAAGAGTTCCCGGCCTGTCTGGATTCTCTTAGGACTTTAGTGGGTGTAACCAGATGAAATCAGAATTGTCTGTGGAGGACAGAGCCCGTTTGTGCCCCGGCGTTAGAGAGCAGTGCCCGGTTCTCGACCCTCGAGGGCTTGACAGCCACTTGGCCTCCCCACCTGTCAGATGGAGAGACTGGGTCTCCGTCCACTTCCACTGTCAGCTCTGAACTATAAGAGGTCCCTGGTCCAGAGGATGGTCTGCAGAAGAGCCCATGGTTGTCTGTGTTTCCTTGAAAGTAATTTGTCTAAAATACAGAATTTATCTTGTCACTTCTTAGTAGTAAAAATTAAATACATCTGTAAGATAGGAGTAAAATATTTGGTTGAATGTAATGGGATGCTGGAAAAAAAAATTTAAATGTTAGTTGTGATCACTGCTGGAGAATAGAAATGGAGTTGTGAGGGTGTGGGGGTGAGAAGGGCCCCTCCACGCGTCTGTCTGCTGCTGTCCCTTTAACAGCAGTCACCTTCGCTTAGAAGTAAACACTGGTAAGAACATTGAGGAGTGAAGTAAGGAGCCCCCTTGCCATTTTTGGGGTTCAGTGCTGTCACCGAATTGATTTCTGTTTTTCAACGCACACGAAAACACACATCTCGGTGTGTTCACAGCAGTCGTAGCTTGTTTTTCTGGGGAAGGGACAGCGGTTCCTGGCTGTCTGCAAGGCTCACGAGCATCCTCTCACCCTTCTGCTTGGGAATCCCTCCCTGACGTTTTATCGTTCCGCATCCCCGGTACGGCAGGCGAGAGGGCATGTGACGGGCTTTTGTGGTGGCTCCAGCTGTCATCACGCCTGCCCCATTCTTCTGTTTAACTAGTCTAAGAGAATAGCCAGTCTCTGGCTTGCTCAACATTTGCAGCTCCAAAAGTCCCAAAAATTAACAGGTTTTTTTCTACTAGCTGTCAAAGGTCTCCCAGCCCTCCCCTTGACTGTTCAGGGAACCCTAAGGTGACAGGTGCTAGTCAGCATGTGGGCGGTTGCGTTTCGTGTGTCCTCCGTCCCTGCCTGGAGACGTGGGGGAGCTATACACGATGGATAAGCATGTGCTCTTTCTTTTGGGCCCACAAGCGTTCAGAAGCAAAGTATCCCTGTGTTGCTGGAAGGCAGAGATGCTCTCGTGAGATCCCAGACGGGCTCAGGTCAGTCGTCAGTTAATTTCTGCCCTTCCCCACGTGGTTGTGCAGCCGGGTGTGTCGTAAGCGGTCTGGCGAGGGGTGGTGGCTGCTTTGTTTTGTGGGGGGAGGGAAGCCCTGGATCCATTCACATCGTGAAAGGAAGGGGACAGTCAGTGGGGCTGCGATCAGGAGTGATCAGGAGGCAGCCAAGTTCCACTGTCATTCCTCAGAGCCCGCCTCAGGGCTTTGCCCAGCCTCACTCTAGTGGGCAATGAGCATTTTCTTCTGGTATTAAAACTGTTCTGTGGTGAGCACACGCTGAGTGGATGCCAGTCTTTTGGCTTGAACATGGAACACTGCTTTTGTGCGTTCCAGAACAGTCTGGACTTGTTCTTCTGACCCTCTTGTGCCCTTAATGGCAGGTCCCCTGTTCTCTGCCCCCTTCCGCCTCCCTGCCCCCCACCCCTGCCCCGGCTCGGCCACCATTCAGGCGGGTGGATCCCAAAGTTTTTGCCTGGTTTCTCCTTGGTCTTCAGAGGCCATCTCTGGGGTTCAGACAGGCTCCTCCCGACGTGGGCACCGCAGAGGATGCTCCCTGACCACTGAGGCTCCTTGGGGAGGTTAGGGGGTGCTTCAGAGGGGATACAGGGTGACAGTCACTGAGCTGAGCTTCTGTGTGACCTGGAAGATGCATCATCGGCTCCCTTGTCAGATGTCAAAGGAGCAGAAGCTGCAGGTTTGTTAGAAGCACTGACTTTACAAAGCAGAACTAGGGGTTGTGGCAGACAGGTCACTTCCCTTTTCACTGGATGTGGGTGGGCCGCTCCTGTCCCCAGATTTCAGGGCGGCCCAAGGAGAGCAGTGCCAGCTTCCTCTGCTGTCTGTGCTTTTCTGACATCCACAGGCTCCGTGATGTTAACTGCTTTTGTGCTTCTTTAAAAGGTAAAACTCTTGCCTACTGCATCCCTGTGGTCCAGTCCCTTCAAGCAATGGAGTCCAAAATACAGGTGAGTGTAAAGTGTGCTTTTCTGTTATTGTTCACAGCGCACTAGAAGCCATCAAACTGAACCAAAGCGGTAAGATTGGGACCAAGAGAGTCTTTTCACTTAGCTTTGTTTTCTTCCCTCTTTTAAATTTATTACATAAGCATGTTGCATCTGAAGCCTGTGCCCAGAGTGGAATGGAGTAAACACATGGTCGTCCTGGCAGGTCTAACAGGGAATGTTTGTAAGATGCTCCCCGTGGGTCAGACATCCGGCCAAACGCTTCCTTGTGTTATTTTCTTGACTCTCTTAACTGCCCCAGACCCCCCAGCTGTAAGGTATTACTGTTAACCTTGATTAAGGAAAAGTCAAATGGAGGCTTGAGAAGGTCGGATAACTTCCTGAGGCCGAGTGGGGGGATCGTGAAGCTGAGTTTCCACCTCTGTCCTCTTTGGCTCTGGAGGCCCAGCTCCTCTGACTGAGGACGGTGAGCATTGTATTTAAGATGGTGGTTTGTCATGAATAGTAGGCGTGAAAATAAGCACCCAGTTGGTGAGTGTGACAGTTGGGCCACCTCGGATTTAGCGTTTCCTAGAAATTTAGTTGTCAAACACACTTAGCACCTGGGCCAGGAGGGCCAGAGCTGGATTCCCTGGGTTCCCTGGGAGGCCGTGTGCCTGCTGTGTTCCACAGGCGTGGGTGTCCTCTCAAAACCCAGAACCCCGCACACGCCCCGGGTATTCTCACTTGAGAGGAAACAGTGAGATCAGAAATAGGGAGCAAGACAGGTTCACAAACAGGTGAGGAGAGCTGATTGGTTACTTTTTTCTCAGTCTGGACATGCAGAATTAGATGTGTGTCCAGCCTTCCTGTTATTTGAGTGACAAAATAATGAGGGTGTTGCTGTTTATAAAAACAGATTTTAGAAAGTTTCTTTTGTACAGCACAGGAAACTATGTCCAGTGTCTTGTAATAACCTTTAATGGAAGAAAATATGAAAACGAAGATACGCATGTCTCGGCATGACTGGGGCATTGTGCTGCGCACCAGAGGCGGACGCACTGTGACTGACTGTACTTCGATTAAAAAAAAAAGACAGTGTTGGATCATGGCCCGTAGTCTAAAACAAATCCCCGTGGGTCCAAATCGATATAAATTATTGATTAAATAGATGAGACAAGGGAAGGGCTTCCTTTCAGTAGAATTCCATGAGTAAATGTGAGACGTCATCACCCGGCAGATGCCACGGCAGTACTGTTTCGGGCAAGAATCCCCAGAGCCGCTAAAATGAGAGGATGAAAGCGTGATGAAAATCGGGCGTCTACACAGTCTCAGAGTATCTCTCCATAAGATACGGGAAGAAGGGCAACTTCACGGGGGAAGCCGGCTGCCACCACCGTAGCCGAGGGGTCAGAGTGGGCTCACCGGTCCTGAGACGTGTCGACATCATGTCTCCTGATCGGTGCGTGGAGCACGCAGTGGTACACCCGTGGTTTTCTTGCCAAAAATGCATAACCCGAATTTAATCATAAGCTTCAGACAAACCCAAATCAAGGCACATTCTAAAAAGAACTGGCCAGTGCTCTTCAAAACTGTTAAGGTCGCAAAAAATGAAGCAGTACTAAGGCACTACCCCAGATTAAAAGAGGTGAAGGAGACATGGCAGCTAAATGCAGCTTGTGGTCCTGAACTGGATCTTAATCTGGAAAAGGGATGTTAACAGGTCAGGCGATGAAATGTGAGTGAGGTCTATAGATGAACTGGCCGTATCGGGTCAGCGTTAATTCCCTGTTCGATCCTTGCCCTGGGATTCTGAGACTCCGTGCCGCCTAAGGAAGCCTGCGAGAAGGGTGGAAGGGAGTCCTTTGAACTGTTGGTGCAATTTTTTGTAAGTTGGAAATTATTTCAAAATGAACACATTTACATCTTACTCATACTGGTTCTGTCCGAGGCGAGTGAGTGAGAATTCTGTCTCCTGGTGTTCCCCTCCGTTGGGCACTCTGCAGTGAGATGGTTCGTACGAGGGGCTTAGCGTCGTGCCCCGTGTAGGTTACAGAAGAAGAAATGTGAATTCTTAGACCAATGTGGTAATCTCATCTGCTTGCACACTCCAGGAGAACTTCTTCCCTTAGAGGTTTTTTCCTTCCGGGAAAGTTGCAGAGTTTGGGCGTGTATTTGAGCTGGAATGGGTCCTTTGGTTCTAGCCCAGCTGTCTCATTCCTGGAGCCATGAACTGAGGACAGGAGAGATTCGATTACGTTCCTAAGGTGTAGACAGTGTGGTGGGTGGCTCTGCTCAAGTCCTGGGTCTGTGTGTCACGTTGGGCAAATCATTTCATCCGTCTGTGCCTCTTGGGGAATAACTTGGGTTATCCTAGCATTGCCACGAGGATCGAGTCCAACGTGGGGAGGTGGGAGCTGCTACCAGGCGCCTAGTGATAGTACTTGCTCATTAAACATCAGCTGTTGTCAACACAGACATGTGGCCAGTCTGAAGGGCAGCATTTTGAATGGCTTATATTCAGACCATTAACAAGCCTTCTCGTTTTTATTTACTGAAATATTTTTAATATCAATAACAGCTTATTCTATTAAAGATTGAAAATATTCTGTAGACACAGTTTTCCAAGCCCAAATTTAATTCACTTATCTTGAGGAATATTCAGTCTAGGCCCTTGGAATTCATTGCGAAAGGATTTGACCTGTAAAAAACACATCTGGAGGGAGCAGCAAATTCAAGGCGCCCAGCAGAGCCTTCAATTACTTTCGTGACAGAATGAGAATGGACTGACTGCCTTTCTGTGTTTTCACTCTTTCAGCTATTTTGGCTCTGATTTTTTTTAACATCACATCCATCCTTCCTCACTCACTTCTGCCCTGTGAGGAATTGATTGTTCTTTCTTCTCCTCTGTGTAGTAACACCTTTTGAAATGTCAGCATCTCCTAACGTCACACTGTGGCATCAAGACGGTTGTACTAACATGTTTACCGTTCCTCACCTGGGCTTCAGCACAGTCTCGCCAAGTTGATGCCGAGCACAGACGGCTCTCGTTTGAATTCCAAATCCTTTTCTCCTTGTGGGTAAATGTTTCCCATGCAAAACATGAAAACCATCTTCGTAATTTAATTTGCCGCCAACTCTGTGCTTAGCTTCTACACTAGCATAGTTTTGATTCACTCACTAGGTGTCTGTGAGCACTTCGGAGGTACAAGACGCCCCGTTGACTTCGGGACCTTTATCAGATTACTTTGTTTTCTTCTGTCATCATTCCTATTATTTTTAGATATAATGTGCATGTTTTAAAAAATGTGAAGAGTACCAAAAAATACATAGTGGAAGTGCATCATTCTGCCCCTTTCCCGGAGTGGTTCAGGATGCGAAGGTCCCCATCACCAGACTCTTGTCTGTTCCCCTGGGGATAGTCTTTGCATATGAAGTACACATGAGTATGCGTAGTGCCCCTATTGAAGTTGATTGAAGTTTTTATTTGTTTGATACACAAGTAGTTGCTTGCTATGCATGATTTCCTGGCCTTGCTCTTATTCACTTATATGTTGGGGATGGTTTCTTAACACCATGTTGATCTGCCTTGTTTTTTTAATGGCTGCCTAGTAGTCCACTGCCTGTATGTACCATAAATTATTGAATCATTCCCTCACTGGTGTTCCACACTTGGCTACAAACAAAGCTGTTATAAATACTCTACATTCTATAAAATACTTTAGAATTTCTTTATGCACACATATAAGTGTATATTTTTGAGAAATTTCTGTAAGTGGAATTAGCATTTTTATTTATAATACCAAAATTGACCTTTAAAGGAGTTATACCAATTTGCACTCCCACCAGCAGTGTGCAAGAGTTCCTGTGTGCCTGTGCGTTTATCGACACTATTAGCTGTTTTATTTTGGCTTATCTGATGGGAAAATATTGTATCATGGTTTTAATTTGAATTTCTCTTAGGAATAAAGTTGAGCATCTTTTTATATGTTTAAAAGCCATCTTTTGAATTCTTATTTCCATAAATTAGCTGTTTATGTCCTTCATTTTTCTGTTTGAGTTGTTGGTCATTTTTATTTTTTAATTGAATGTTGAATCTTCTTTATAAACTAATAAATTGGCCCTTTCCCTTAGGTGGCATATTGTTTCCCCACATTGTCATTTGACTCAATTTTATTTAGGTATTACTTTTCCATTCCGAAATTTAAAATTTTTACATAATAAAATTGATCAGTGTTTTATATAGTTTCAGAGTTTTATGTCACCTATAAAAATGCCAACTTAATTCCAACTTTATTTCTAACTTAATTTTTTTGTAAAAGGACATTTGAAATATCCATCTTTTCAGTACTGATACAAATTGCCCTTTTTCTAAACTGTGTTTGCTATTGTAATCTCTATTTGCTAGTATCAATTTTTTAATGCTACTGTAGATTTAAAGTTTTAACATCTGATGTTGTTCAGAAATGTCTTGATTATTCTTGCACATTTATTTTTCCACATGAACTTTCGAATCAGATTGTCTGGTTGTATATGTTACTTTCATATGCATATACATGTGCATACATGTGGCATTTTTTAGATATTTTATATACACATAGAATGCATATGTATGACATTTTTGTTAGAACTGCATTACATTTATGGATTGATTTAGGGAGAATTAGCTTGTTTATAATATTGAGTCTTCTTACCCAGTAATAAGATACATTGTTCCATTTATTCAAATTTTATTTTATGTGCCTCAGAGGTATTTTAAAATTTTTATCCTTCAGATTTTGTACATTTTTAAGCTCATTCTTATCTTTTTTTTGCTAGTATAAGTGTGATTCCATCTAACATTCTGTGTTGGAAGGCTGTTGATTTTTATATATTAATTTTGCATTCAGCTGGTTCACTGAATTGTCTTCTTTGTAATAGATTTTCAAGTGATCTTCTTGAGTTTTTTTTTTCCTAGGATAAAATATAATCTGCTACTAATGACAACTGTACCTCCTACTTTCTAGATTTATACATATTTATTTGTCTTGTCTGATTGCATGGGCCAGAACTTCTAGGTCAGTGTTCTATGGTAATGAGGGTAGTGGGCGGTCTTGTCCCCTCTTTAATGAGACTGCTCTGGTTTACAAGTGACCACCCTTAATCTCTCTGTCTGGGCTCCCGTGACCTTCATTCATTCAACTCATGGCACTTTTTTCCTTTTGTGTCAACAGCGTGCTGACGGCCCCTATGCCCTGATACTGGTGCCAACGAGAGAGGTAAGCAGTCTGCTTTCAGGATGGGCGCTAAGCAAGCACTCTCAGCTGTATCGTTGAGTTTGAAAGTGGTGTTAACCTTTTTTCTCTCCACTGCACAAATCGGTACACCCTTTCCTTTGCTGGGAACCACCTTCTGGTTCCTGTCAGGAAATAAAACCTGAGTACTCTTTGAAAACCCCAATTTAAGTATGGAAGAGTATCTTCTGTTATCCAAAAACTAATGACACTATAAATTTCTGTGCTTTTCAAAAGAATTAAAATAATCACACTTTTTCCTTTGCTTTTTTTCTATTGCAACTTAATTAAAAAATAAAAGCAAGCAGCCCTAAAAATGAACTTCTTTTTTTTAAGAAGCTACTGCACCCAAAATTTTGCTTGTTTCTGAAAGTTAAGCTTCTGGATAGTTTTCTTCTTTCTTGATGGAACTCTCTTCTATCTGATTTATTGTATTTACCTACAGAGGCAATTTCAGGGTAGGGTATCTGTTTTCCGTATCACATGCTAATCACTTCCTTGCAGAGAACTGGCCATGGAGATGGAGGTCTCACTCAGCCTTTGGTACAGCCTGCAGCGCCCTGTCTCAGCTCCATCCAGTGAAGGAGCGGGCACGAAGCTATTTAAATTTTTACAGCAGCAAACTCGCTGCTTCCCTGGAATGCTTCGTGAATACTAAACGTGTGGAAACGGTGTCTGTCGTTGGATAAAGGGATCATGTAGCTGCTTTTGGGATGGTTTTTAACGGTTGTAACTTACGTTAATTTTCACTATCGGTGTTTTCCGGTGGGCTTGTTGGTGTTTTTTGTTTGTTTGTTTCCTTTTGTTTACTTCCCCTCCCTTTAATAAACTGGGGGGATGACCTTCTCTGTCTTTAAGCTGCGGCTCTGCTCTGGCATGTCCTTGGGCTGTAGTCACGTCTCCTTTAAAGTAATGTTCTCAGGGCTGGCCTGTTGCTCCACGACGTGCTTTACCCTTCACCCATATTACATTCTTTCTCTTTCCGAAGGGAACCGAATTCAGGTTGACTCTCCTTCATTTTCTTCCATCTTTGTGCCCCTTAGACTGTTCTCTGTGGTACTCTGGGAATTTGAGCCAGCAGAGGGAGCACAAAACACTATTTTTGTGTACGTCCAAGAAATAGATGTGATGTCTCTACCCATATTCTCCAAACTGACAGGTTTCAGAGTCAGTCTCAGAACAAGTCATACTTCCAAGTAGAGTCTGTGTATAGGATTTATGTATTTATTGTAATCCTAATTTGGGGTCCAGCATTAGATCCTTATTCCTCTACACTCTCTAAATTCGAAAAAATAAATAAAAAGGGGAGATGGGATCTTGCTCCTTATCTGTAACTTTTTCATGCTTACAGCTGGCTCTGCAAAGCTTTGAGACTGTCCAGAAACTGCTTAAGGTAAGGCAAGCCGTGAGTTCAGTTTTATCTTTTCTCCCCCTGACTTTTTGAAGAAAGAGAAATATGCCACGGCCTTTTCTTTATTTTTTTTATAGAGCCGGGAACTCTTCCAGTCCCCCTTTGTTCCCCGGCTGTCTCTGCTCTCCCCAGGTACGGGGTGTGGGCTCTTATTGATCTGAACCTTATTAATCACCAGTTTCTAGCTTGGCTAGATTACAGTGTTTCCTGGTACTTCAGGTCCCATAATCTGTTCATCACAGTCACCAGCAAGCCACGCACAGAGGTTCACAGGCACATCCTTAAGGTGACCCACTGAAACAACAAGCCACAAGTAGGGTTTGTGTAAGAAAGAAGAGAGAGCGCTTCAGAGCCGAAGCCCACCAACCCAGCAGCTTAGGCGGAGACTCGATCTGTCCTTTCTTTCATCACAGGCAGGCACAAGGAAGTGCTGTACTCGGGTCTTAGCTCAACCAAAAAGGAAAAGAAAGGCACTTGACTTGCTGAAATGTGTTTTCAGTTCAGGCTCTGCGGGGAGGCGCAGAAGCGACTTGAATCATTTAAAAAGCTCACATTTCTCTCTCTCTCGGTGTTGGGAGCTCATTGCGTGACTATAACTTAAGTTACGGCTGCTAACAGTCAGATAATGCTGCCGTGGGCCTGGCCAGGCCTGCGAGTCGTGTCTGCCCAGTAACCCCTCGTGCAACGAGAAGCCCAGTCCTCCCTCCCGACTCCCTTGAGGAAAAGGAATTGGGAATCAGTCTCGGCTTTCATTGAACAGGACTTTGCATTGATTTTGGTCTGATGTCTTTCTGTAGCCATTTACCTGGATTGTGCCTGGAGTGTTAATGGGAGGAGAGAAGAGAAAATCAGAAAAAGCCAGGTAGGGGGAAGTTGGCTTGTTTTTCGTTCCATTTTGAATCTCATCGGTCCTGCCTTCCTATTCAGTAAGACTCTCTGGCCCTTCTCCACCTGGAGAGAGCCTCGTGTCAGGCGACGCGGCCTAGTCCCTGGGTGTGGGATGGATGGAGCCTGCGGGGAGTGGTCACGGGGGGAGTGGTCACCGCTGGACAGTGCTGTTTTTTAAAACACTGATGAACCAACCAGGGGCTACCTTTTGATGTGGTCAGTAAGAGTGCTGGTTACCCTCCTGTCTCCCACCCCGTCTTGTTTAGAATGTGTCCCCTTGACTCCTTTTGTGTACCTTGGGAGTTTAGGCCTTTGTTGTTTGATTTTACAAAGACAAGATTGTAAACCTACATAACGCTTTGCCTCTTTGCACTTTACACCCCAACACATCGATTCTTAAGTCTGTGTTGTTAAGTTTGCACAACGTGCTTATGTTCCAGCAAGGAGACAAATGGATAAACGGAACACACAGGTCCCACAAGAACCTACAGAAGGAGGAGGGAAATTGTTACAGAAAGTAAATCTCATTGTCTGTGTTCTTTATAAAGCATTTTCATTTTATTGTAGTTTAATGCTTAGTAGTTATACCCAACCATGTGCAGCATCTGTAAGCGAGGTGCTAATATTAAACTGGAAACCTTCATGTGTTGCTCAGGATTAGACTTAGCTGTAAATGAAACAACAGTAGTGGCACAGACAACATGGAAGTTTTCTCTTTCTTTCACTTTTAAGAAGCCTGATGGTAGCCCGTCAGGGCTGGCGTGGTGTGTGCGCCGGTGTGAGGACCCAGCCTCCTTCTGTCTGTTTGTGCCACCAAGGGAGGCTTCCATTTTCAGACTTTCCTCACAGTGTTAGATAGTTGTTGGAGCTCCAGCCATTGTATCCAGTTTCCTGCCAGTAGGAACAAAGATAATCATACCTCCTCCTTCCAAAGGTACTTTTGGGATCTGCATGTTCCGTTTATCCATTTGTCTCGTTGCTGGAACATACGCACGTGCCCAAACTGAACTGCAAGGGAAGCTGGAAAATGCACTCAGCTAAGAACTGTGGGCTTTAATTACTAGGGACTAATGGGATAAAGGCTGTCTGGGGAGTAAGAATTAGATTTATTCTGCCTAGTCTATGGGCAAGGGTAGGCCCGTTGTATGGAAGTTCCAAGGATTCAGTATGAGGAAAAAACGTTCTGGCCATTGGCGCGCTGGCGTGGGGTAGGTCACTCAGGTGAGAGGTTCCCTGGCACAGACACCGTCAAGAACAGGCTGGGTGACCATCTCTCTGGAGGGTTCTAGAAAGCACGTATAGATCAGATAAAGGGCGTTGGATTAGATAGTAAAGGTTCCTTTGAGGGTTAGGGTTTATGATCTTAATAGGATTTCAGATCTCACAGTTAACGTTCTGTAAGAGAAACCTCGGAGGAAAGCTGGAACGCAAGTCTGTCGCTGTGTTCGCGGTTCCAGGCTGTGGTGCACGGGTGCTCGCCCTGAGTGTCTCCTTAGCCTTTTCCCTGTGTTTTCTGTTGCTGCGGCTCCATCTGATTTACTTTCTTTTATGAAAAATAATTTTAAACAGAATCCGGAAAGGAATAAATATCCTTATCTCAACTCCTGGGCGGCTCGTGGATCATATAAAATCCACAAAGAACATTCATTTCAGTCGGATACGGTGGCTGATTCTGGACGAAGCAGACAGGTGAGCCTCTTCCAGGAAGCCTGAAAGGGGGAAGAAAAGGGCTCTTTCTGCTGTCTTCATGGAAGCTTCTGTAGCCCCTGAGTGCACGTTCATTCACGTAGATGGAAATTCCTTCCTTGAAATCACAGAATCTTGGATTTGGGTTTTGAAAAGGATATCACCGTGATACTTAATGCCATAAATGCCGAGTGCCAGGGACGACAGAACGTCTTGCTGTCGGCAACACTCACGGAAGGTGAGTTGAAAAGACGTGCTCTTTGTTCTTAACGAAGAGGGAGGGCCCAGGCACAATCTGCATTGTCTGTCGGCAGCAAAGATGCTCGGCCTTGGGGGAGAGGGCGAGGGGGCGAGTATCCCCAGGGGACTGCTTTTCAAACCACGTGTCCTGCACGCCCGGCCTCCCTCTCCCAGTCATCCTGAGTCCCTGTGGTCCCAGCATGTGGGGAAGGGGAGGAAGGCAGGTCCCAGATCCGGAGCATCCCAGTGAGGAGGGTCCTGCTGGCGCTCACATTGGGTGGAGGGGGAGGGAGGAGGCCGCCTGCCGCCCACCGCCTGCCGCCCACCACCCGCCTGGCGGCCTCTTGGGGCTGTGATCGCCATCGTTCCCCCGCTGAGAGCCAGGCTCTTGTCTGGAAGATGACGACCTCTGTCCCAGCGCACTTGCTACTGTGATCCCCCTGCCTTTCTCCTGAAGAGATACTGAACCTGGAAAATCTCTGCTTTGAGCTCATTTCTGTCTTTCCACCCTCGTGAGACGGAATTTCTCAGCTCCTTGTAGTGGGTGGGAACACCTAGGCCGGGAGACGTTGCCTCGGTCTCCACCAGGATCCCCCACACAGCGAGTCACTGCCTGAACAACAATACAGCTTTCACGCTCTTGGGTCTGGTTTACTTGGTTTACTGGCTGCGTGCTGGTGCACGCATACCAGATGCCGTTCACGTGACCCCCCAACAGTTCTCAAAGGGTGTTCTAGCTAACAGGAATTTTTTTTTTAATTGAAGTATTGTCAGTTACAACATGTCAGTTTCTGGTGTACAGCGCTATGTCTCAGTCATGCATATACATACGTGTATATTCGTTTTCATACTCTTTTTCATTAAAGATTATTACAAGATATTGACTATAGTTCCCTGTGCTGTACAGAAGAAATTTGGTTTTTTATCTACTTTTGTATGTAGTGATTAACTTTTGCAAATCTCAAACTCCCAAATTTATCCCTTCCCACCCATTTCCCCCGGTAAGCATAAAATTGTTTACTAGATCCTAACTAACAAATTTTAAGATAGAATCCACGAAAAAGGGATTTTGTGCTCAAAAAATTAGGGAAATGCCACACATGACCTTCTTCTCCTGGAGATACGTGTGCGCACTAACACAGTAAAGGACCTGAGAAGGTCTGTAAACTTGTAAAGCCCGTGAAGGAATCCCATGAAACCTTTCCCTCAGGGCTTTCATAAGTCACTTGACCCTAGAGCCCTTTCTGGCAGGTGGCGTCTGTTTCACTGGTTTTCCGTGGGTCGGAGCTGAGAAACCTTGGCGGTGTGGGTGGGCGGTCAGGCCATGGGAGGAAATCGGTGTCAGCCCGCAGCAGACTGGCTGTAGGGCCGATCAGTGCTGGCATTTGGTGAGACCTGTTAGCAGTGTCTTCATAAGCCCGGATGTGGAGTGAGGGGTGGCGGGCGCCTCTGTGGCCAGTTCCACAGTAATGTGCCTGTCGGCTATTCGGTCTTTTTCGCTTTTTATCCGAGGTGTCGCGCGGCTAGCCGATATCAGCTTACACAACCCAGTCAGTATTTCTGTCCCGGATGAAAGCCATGACCGGTCTGACCCAAAGAGCAGAGCGGTTCTTGAAGCTTCTGCCCCACGGACTGGCAGTGAACTGGACAGCTTTGCCATCCCAGCGGGTCTCGATCAGCACGTGACAGTGGTTCCCAGCAAACTGAGGCTTGTCTCCCTAGCGGCCTTCATCCTGCAGAAATGCAAGGTGGGTCTGGGGACTGGGCCCAGCCTGATCCAGGGAAGGACCATGGTTTTGTTTCTGCCAGGCGTGGAGGGCCGTGGGCTGAGACGCACGCAGGAGTTTCCCAGCTTGCCTGTGTTTGTGAGCCCAGACCTTCGTAGAGGTCTTTGCGGCCCGTGGTTCTCCGATCATGGTAAAGACTCAGGTCAATGAGAGCCATTATTTTCAGCGTAAAATCTGCCTCAAATGTCTTTCCTTGGAGTGACACTGGGAAGGTCACAGGTGGTAGAAACATGCCATGAGGCAGAGGTAGGGGCCTGTGCGCATGTTTTTTAAAGAATCGGGGTTTTTGTATATTTACTAGATTTGTGTGATGACTTCTAGTACCTGGGAAAATAGTAGGTGGAGGAGCTTGAGGTCCCCCTACTTCAGGCTTCAAGATATCCTGCGTGCTCGGAGTGCCCGCGGGGGTGCTGTGTGCGGTGGGTCCCGGGTGAGTGAGGGGACAGAGCTAAGGTGCAGCTCCACACTGGAGCGTCGTTGTTTTCTCAGGGGTGGGAGGCCCGGTCGAGGTTGTAGCCACGTCGTTGTCCTTCCCCGCATCCTTCATAGCATGGAGCGTAAGTGTTATTTTTAAAAATAATTCAAAGCCATCTGTCACCTCTGTTTCCAAATTGGGGCCAGTCAGCCTGTGTCTTTTACAGAGCGGTTCATTTTAGCATAACCTAATCTTAAAAATGTGCGGTGGTTTTCCCCCCTTTATCGCTGTAGTTTGAGAGAGACCAGAAGATGGTTGTCTTTTTCTCGAGTTGCGAGCTGGTGGAGTTCCACTACAACCTCTTCCTCCAGACCCTGCTGGGCGGCTCGGGGGCCCCTGCCCAGGGGCGGCCGCCATCTGCCTCTACGCAGTTCGGATTCCTGCGGCTGCACGGGGACATGGAGCAGGAGGTGAGCGCCACACGCGTCCCGCCAGC